CATATCACACAGTTTTACCAAAAATATTGGAATACTTTCGCAGAGCGATTTCTTCCTAGCCCACCACTGCAATTGAGCATCCGGTACAAACACTACTTCCTGCAAAAACAACCTTCACTTGCTCCCAAACATTACGAATGGATGCGTGGAACTTGACGCCGACAATTTAGTAACTCCGCAACCAAAGCAGCTAGATTGCTGAAAGTTTGGGCATACGAAAACTGCTTTCAAGTCCCCCTCATCTCTCATCACGGTGCAGTTTGCTAATTTTCTCATGACACCTTAGTATCGTTGAAATAAAAAAGATAATAAATTGAATCTGAATTTGACGCATATTTCCATTTGTCTAGTTAGAAGTGCTTGCCACAAAAACCATGCTGCTTAGCAACGAAAATCTGCTTGGAAAACTGTGCAGAAACGCATGCTCGCAGCGGCTAGTCTGATGAGCGGCGCCATTGGACTTTTGACGTTGCTTACAAGTAGAGGCACAGCTAAGGGGGAGAGATTGCTTACTTTCTTTAAGCATAACTTAGAGTTTGTGGTATCAAAAAATCATTCGTTGACGTTTCTACGAGGACTGGCTTATTTCTTCTTTTTGCTTTGCTTATTTCAAAGAAAAAGGCGAGCTCGCTGTTGGAGGCATAGTTTAGAACGAACCAATACGATTGATAAGACAAAACTTTTCGGACAACACGGAATTGTTTCAAACATTCCGGCAGCATTTTTTTTTAGACAAAAACTTTTGGCCGGGATCAGAATTCTGTCCATGAGCGCTGATGTTTCAGGAAGAAATTACCGAGTGTGAAGGGTACGCTGCCAAGGACGCTGTTCATCATCGACAGGATGAATGTTGCGGCTGCTGCAGTGTGAGATCTGAAATGTGTCATTTTAAGGAAGTACATAGAATTTTCAGAAGAAAAGCAAAAAATTGAATAAGAATTCAAGAAATTATGGAATTTCCACAGCGGGAGAGTGCGTTCACACCTTATAACTTAGGCGGACATAGAAGTTCGTGTCTTTCTAGGATGATAGTATTTTACCAAAGAGAAGTAGAAAAATGAAGAAAAGGACTTGGTGGCATATTTACTGTAATTTCGTACACATCATTTATTCCCGAATTATGTTCATTATTTAAAAAAAAAGAAAAAAATTTGCTGAAAACCTGAAAAGGTAGTGGACACAGGCTAGCTGAATGAACACAGGCTATTTTTTATATTGTGCATATTTTTGGCAAAAAAAAAAGACTGACCTCCGACTGTTGGCGTAGATTCCAGTGATGCCAGCTGT